CAAGCTGAACAAAAAAGATTGGATTCAGGATCGCTTGAAAATTCTCATACGGAAGCAATTTATACAAGTAGAACATTAAGTTCCGGATTTTCATCTATTAATTCAGATATATCACTTAATATTAACAACGGTAAGCATATACAAAAAAAAAAAAAGGTATATTATTTAAAGATAAAATTAATATAAGAATTCCGTTAATAAATCAACTTTTTTTTTTTTTTTAGATTATATAACAAAAGAATACGAGTTTGATACACCATCCTATGTAGATCACCATTTTATTTAAATAACGATAATTAATTAATCCCTTAATACCATTTAGCTTGAAAAAATTTCTTAACCCAATTATAGTCTAAATTAGAATTTGACGATTGAATTGGACACGATTAGTGTGGTGGTGTAACGTAATTATACATTGGATTCAAATGAATCTATTTGGATCGACTTTTTACGCATTGTGTGCAACAATGTCAATTACTTAAAACATGGAAGACTTCTTAGAAAATTTTAAAATTTTAAAATAAAATAATAAAATTTTTATTTTTATCTTCTTCTAAAATGTATACAGAAACAACAATTTCAAAAGTAATGAATTTTCCTTATGATCAAAAAAGCAATATTTGCTTTTTCTGTGGAGAAAAATATATTAAGTTTGAAAAAAACATTATCTATTGCAGATCATGCTTTTTGAAAATTTTTATATGTACGGAAATAATTTGGTAAGAATAAAAAGAATAATGAATGGTTTGGTTTGCTTCGAACTTTTTATGTAAGAAAATAAAATTCAAAATTTTTTTTTCCTAACCAGTGTCAAAATTTTTAAAACTCTTTTCGATTTTAAATGGATAGAATCGTTATATAACATACGTATTCCAGTTCTTTACTTACCATGGCGGGATACTTTTGATACATGTTTAGTTTGCAAACTTGATTTAAAATTAATATCTGACCGTCAGAAATGGTGTTCAGATTGTTATATAATATATGCCGAATGCAGATCTTGTTTAACAATAAACATTATATTTGGACTTACGGATAAATCAAAGTGCAGATTTTGCAAGAGTACAACATCTTTTGATGTTAAAAACAATAATGGAAATTATGACATTGACGAGTTTTTCCATAGTATAAGATTTAATAACCTTAAACATAATGATTTAAATACTACCATAAATAACAATTACGACCCACCAAAACTAATCTTATTTCGTTGTGATATGTCACATATACTTATTACCCATATTGACAACGTTTACGAGTCTATTAAAAAAACATATATGGATCACAAGACAATGGAATGGATACCATATTCTCGACTTAGGGATATTAAAAAAATAGCGCAAGGCGGTTTTAGCAATATTGATCAAGCAACTTGGATAAATGGTAGTAAAAACGAACAAATCACTGTAGCTATCAAAAGTTTTTTCAATTCGCAAGATTTTAGTAAATACTTTTTGAATGAGGTTATTATATATAACATGATGCATTAATTTTTTTTTAAAAAATCTTAAATAGACGTCATATTAATATTTAAATTTTTTCTTTTTATAGTTAAAATCATATCATCATTGTTATAAAGAACATAGCAATATTTTACAATGCTATGGAATGACAAAAGATCCTAACACAAATGAATATATGATAGTAATGCAATATGCAAAAGAGGGAAATTTGCATGAATATTTACAAAAACATTTCGCGGACATTGAATGGAGAAGAAAATTAGAAATTCTTCGCCAAATTTCTTATGGGTATTTAAAATTATGTATATTATTTATGTTCTTTTTTATTAATTTATATGCTAATTTATTACTAATTTATTTTTAAGTCTCAAGACAATTCATGATGCAAATTTTATACATCGCGATTTTCATAGTGGAAATGTCTTATTGTCAGATCAAGGATGTCAAATTGGAGATTTAGGATTATCACAACCTGCAAATAATACTTCAATAAATAATGAAATTTATGGAGTAATTCCCTATATCGCGCCAGAAATATTTATAGGTGTTTCATTTTCAAAAGCTTCTGATATTTATAGTATAGGCATGATTTTGTGGGAACTTACAACAGGTTGTAAGCCATTTTCTAATATTGAACATGATCATAAGCTTATTTATGACATTATTGATGGAAAACGACCTAATATTACAAGTGATACTCCTGAATGTTTTGCTAATTTAATGAAAAGATGTTGGGATTCCGATCCTTCAAAAAGGCCTTTAATATTTGAAATTTGTGAAAATATTGATGGTTGGATTCGCGAAAATGAAAATGAATATTTTAATCAAGCTGAAGTAAAACGATTAGAATTAATAGCATTAAAGAAACTTGGCCCTGGATTTACTGAGAAATCTCACCCAAAAGCAATTTATACAAGTAGAGCATTAAATTCTTTGATATCTAGATTTTCATCTATTAATACAGCTACATCACTAAATTCTAATGGTATAATCATTTATAATATTTGTCGATAAAATTTATAAGTTTTAAAACTAAAAAATTATACTTTTTTTCAGAATATATCTCAAAAGCATATGAATTTGACATTACAAAGTAATAAGATAAGCTTTAAAATATTATGGTTTTATAAAATGAAATTAACATAATAACAATTTCAAATTATTTAGCAGATCAATGAAACGTAATATTGAAGAATTAAATGTTGAAATTCAAAATAATGGTAAATATTTTTCTTTTGTATCTAGAGTAATAATAATATTTATGTTGTTTCTCTAATATATAATTTTATAAATTTAGCAGAAAAACGAATTAAACATAATTGAGTGATAACGAGATTTTAATTTATCTTCATATGATAAGCAGCAAAATTGTCTGCAATTAATTTTGCACTTGTATTTGACCCATTTACTTGCATTTAACCAAATCATTTTAATGGTTATGGCTTTAAATGATTAAATTATTTGACGATTCCCACGTTTCAAAGTTCCACATAAACAAAATCGAATTTTCGTTCCTTTCGATCCTCATTTTTCGCAGTTCCTTTTATAATTTCTACTGCATAATCTTTAATACATATGAGTTACATGGTTTTCATTAGGTTGTCTTTAATAGCAGCAAACGTCATACGCTGAGGAATGTGCAAAATTTGCTATTCTTTGACACATATGAAACATGTAACTCATTTCTTGATGGAAGACATTTGACCATGGGTTATTATTATTAGACATTGATCGTTTAAGTAGTTAATTTCATATAACTCCAATGTATATTTTCATAAGGTAAATTCTGAAGCAACGCTTCCTAAAATTATGGTATTGAAAATAAAAATGTACATACAAAAAGTGAATTAATTTCAGGTTACATTGTCTTTAACTTGTTTGATATATAAGATTTATGAGAAATTTAATTTTTTTGTTCAATTTCTTGTAATCATCATGCTTATAGTAAAAATTCATTACCAATTATAAGCTATAAGTAAACCCACATTATGTTCTGAAACGTCCGGAAACGCCCTGCTTTTTTTACTTTTAAGAGAATACGCTTAAATAATACCGAACCGGCCTAAACCGGACCGGTTAAATTAACTCTAAATGGCAATCATAAATCTTAATTCTGGCCGGAAGATATTTTTTTTTTGAATTCGGCCAGAGTTAAATTCATCTCTTTTAACCGGTTGAATAAAATCAACGGGTTGACATTGTTAACTTGTTCCGACCTCAGAGATATTATTCTTGATATTCATGTTTATGTAGAAGCATATAAACTCGAAAATCTAGGATTTTCAACCAGGATGTTAATAGTGCAGATTTGTTAAAATCTTTTCTCAGAAATGTGAAATAAGGAATTTATGAATTTGGATAAAACATTTAGGAAAGATACCGAAACTCATAAATTTAAATAAACTTTCCTAATGCTACCAGATATTTCTTTTCCTTTTATTATAATGCGAGTCGCATATGACGGTTTTAAATTCATAACGATAACAACTCCTGACGAAATTTTTTTATGTTTCTAAAATTCGTTATGATATCATGGAGGACGAAATCCCCCGAAATACACAAAGTTTGGTTATTTTTATTTATCTGTTATAACTTATTTAACGGTCTACTTACATGATTTTGGTTGTATCACATGCAGGCAGGCTAGAGCAAAGTTTCAATATTAATAGTATAGCGTAATATAGTATAAAATCCAAAAGATTTCTACTTTCTAAATTTATTTTTTTTTTTTAAACAAATTTAATTTGTAACGCAGAGCCTTTCTAATATACATTGTGAATTTTAAAAAAATAAATCTTTGTTTCATGTATGGAATAATGATAATAATTAAGTATAATAGCTAGAATCGAAATTTTGTAAGATTTAACTTGTAAGGAATATAATGAATTAATTAATTGTTGATTACCATAATAATAATAATAATAAAATTTTTGTCCGACTTCAATACAAACATTAACCCTGCAGCCATTTATAAATTTTATCCTTTGTTTTTATTTTTATCTTAAAAATCCAATTCAATTTGGTAATATTGATATGTTTATGGGTTGAAACATCATTTTACAACATGATTACATAATTAGGAAAATCATGATTTCTATTTAAAAATTTCAATCAAGTTCAATGAATATCAATTTAGGAAATCGTTCAATAAATATGGTTAGTAAAAAATTGTACAGCAATAAGGATTGTCGTTGAACAGAATGTCGCACAAAGTTTCATCCTGATGAAAATATACTATTGGAGTGATGATTTTATAGAAAGTATTTTTTTTCGGAAGAACAAGAATGACACATATAAAGGCGCGCAAGACATGCAAGCATTTTTTATAAAGAATTCAAAGAAACAAAAAAAATATATAATTCCCATATTCCTCGATGTACCAAACGATTATTCTAGGATGCGTTCTCGCGTTAATGCTTCAAATTTTGAAGCGTTCGCGTAACTTAACATTGGTAATACGCCATTTATAATAATTTTTAATTGATTTGTTTTCCGTGTAGGATTTTATTTTTATGAATACTCTTATTTATTTAGAACATGCCTCCACTCGTTCGTTATAAGATACCAATTATCGGCCATACTTTCAGTTACTTGTTTGATAGCGTAGAATTCTTTGCACAATGTAGAAAAGAGGTTGGTAACATCGTGAAGGTTTTCTGAAAATGTCCTCGTAATGTTCTTTATTTAATATTAATATTCTATTAATCGTATTAGTACGGTGATATCTTTAGTCTATATATATGGGGTCAAGTCAGGACCTTTGTTGGTAAGTCCAGGTTCACGTGTTTTCTACTATGCTGCAATCTGCGGTCTGCGGTCTGCTATGTGTCGTAATGAGATTTTAATTGAACACATTAAAAGAGGTATTTCTTGGAGCAAATATTAACAAATCCTTCCTTTGATGCTGCGTCACCTTATAGGAAAAGAGCATATACATGAAGTACTTGCAAAGGATGACGTATTTAGTTTTAAAGAAATGATCAGGAAGAAAATACCAGGAGACGCAATGTATGCTGAAGGATTCGGAGATTCAAGATATAATATAATGGTAATTAAAGAGTATATTTCGAAAAGGTTAGAGATATATAATGAACGAATGCAAACAAGCCTTCATTCGAGTATTCAGAAGTATTTTGGTGAAAGTAGGGAGCCGAAAGTTTTTCATAATTTGCACTATCCTTTGAATAAAGTTGTGGCCGCTCTTATTGCAAATATATTTGTTGGCGAAGTAAGCGCACATATTTAATTTTTTTTTTTTTAAAAAAAAAAGGAGCATGAAATCAAATCTTATGGTTATGATAATTTCTAATTTTGTTCTTTAGGAGGAAGCAAAAAATGACGAGGTCATAGCTACATTTGCAGAATTTACAAGTGATATGGAAATATTTCTTGCAATACCACCAATTCTCGATTTTATATATCCAGGGCTTCAAGACTTTATTAATCGTATTCCAGTTAGGTTAGGATTATACAATCCAGCAGCTAAACATCGAAATATCCTAGTTAAACATATAAAGAAACAAGTCGATAAACGGTTAAAAGAGAGAAAAGTATGTCAGGATTCCTGGAAACGCCCTAATGATTTAATTCAAGAGTTTATAGAAGAGAAAAATTTTGATCCTAACAACATTGATTGCGCTGCGATTGCCGATAAACTGGCTTTTATTATCTTTGCGTCGATCATTACAACTTCAAGGAGTTGTACAAACGCCTTTATCGATTTGGCGTCTCGACCTGAATATATACAAGAATTATATGAAGAACAACTACAAATAGCTAAAGAAGCAGATAAGAGTGGTATACTCCCATTTGAAGCTCTTGATAAAATGAAAAAATTAGATAGCTTTGTTAAAGAATCTTTGAGGCTAACTGGAGATGTAGTAGGAAATCCACATCTGGTATTGAAAGATTATACATTTTCAAATGGGTTACAATTGCCAAAAAATCATGTGGTGGATTTGTATTTTGATGATATTTGTCAAGACAAATCATTACAGGGGCCAAATCCGAAATCATTTGAACCATTTAGATATGTAAATAAAAATTCTCTGGCATCAAAAATTAGCAAAGATTTTACGGTATTCGGAGGTGGTAAACACGCGTAAGTATAATAATCTATTAAATGTCTCGTTTCTCTCATAAATAAAACAAGCGCAAATTAATATAAAAAATCGGAAATTCTTTAGATGTCCCGGAAGATTTATTGCGACAACACAAATTAAACTTTTTATGCATAATATAATATTAAAATATAACTTTCGTACGGAAAGTGGTAAAGTTGAGGAAAAATTGAGAATTGGACCGATGACATTCCCAAGCGCTTGTGGAGTTATTTTCGAAAAGAGAAATGCTACCAATTGAGAATTTCGTGTAATACTTTAAAATGATCCATTTATATCAAAATTTAAAATAATTTTTTTATTTAAACGAAAATTTTTTTTCCGTTTAACATAGGTTATTAACCTTAAGTAAACGAAATTTCTCGATTTTCTTTTTCTTTTTCTTTTTATTTTTTCATATTACAAATAAATATTAAACTAAAAACGATCAAATCATTATTATATTTTAAATATTGAAATTTCTGAATAAAGTGTTAAAGAAAAGTTACAAGTAGTCTAAATAAAAAAAAATCAATGGTAAAAATAATAAAAAAAAAATTAACTTATGGGCATTAATGAGTATATCCCAGAAATTTGCAGCTGGAAGGGGGACTTAAATCTGATTGTTTCTTCAAACCGGACATTCATGGCGTAGGACAATAGTCGTAAAAGAAGTAAATAATTGCAACAAGAAAAAAGCGACACCTAATATTTCCTTTTATTAAACACACTTATAAAAATGATAAATAGTAGATGTTATAAGTTGATATATAACCTTAAAGCCTCTAACCTTTAATTATCTAACTTTCTAAATTGGGCAATGCATATTTACTTTGAACTGTAACCCGTGAAGTTATTATAAAAAATATATTACAATTATGACAAATTTTTAAATTTAATTTAGGAATCTTTTTAGTAATAGTTTTTTTTAAAAAAATTTTTTTAAATTATTTTTTTAACTTAATTTGATAAAAATAATTTTGAATAATATAAAATAAAAAATGTAATAATCGAATTTTGTTTTTTAATTAAAATTTATAAGGAAAACCAGGTTCCGAGAAATTTTTACTAAAATTTAAGAGCTTAATGCATTTTAATTTATTAAAAATTTGTTAAAAGATTCCCGGAACCTGATTTTCCTAGCAATCAACCCATATGTTCTTTAAATGAAAAAAAGTTAATTAACTTACTTGAAATCGGGACAAAAAATTTGGATGAAATGAAGGTTTTTTGTAGCACAAATAGTACAATTATTAACAAATGTTTCAACCAAGTCTTGTTTTAACGTTGCTTTTGTCCCATTCTCCGGGAATAATTTCTTCAATATAAAATCTTTTCTTAGCCCATCCACGAGTTTTTTTATCAGAGGTATTGTCATTTTTAGGGTCCAAGAATACTCTATTATTATACCTAACAGTTCAATATTTACTATAGCTTTATTTATAAAGATAGATATTTACAAAAGTTTAAAATAAGCGGTGATTGTTCTAAATAATTGTTCTAAAAATAAACAAATAATTGTTCTAAAAAAAAAAAAAAACAAGTTTGTGCTAAAATAAAAACGAGTCAGTTGACAACTAACGCACCTCATTTGTCGATTGTCATGTTACTGTTGAGGTACGTCACTATCATCTGACACAAAATATATAAAGTATAAGTATGAAGCATTTTTTATAAAAGAATTCAAGAAAAATAAATATATATCGTTTCATCCCTCCTTAATTTCATATTCCTCGATGTACCAAATGATTATACTAGGATGCGTTCTCGTGTTAATGCTTCAAATTTTGAAGCGTCCGCGTAACTTAACATTGGTAATAACCATTTAGAAAAATTTTAATTGATTTGTTTTTCGTGTAGGATTTTTATTTTTATGAATACTTTTATTTATTTAGAATATGCCTCCACTCGTTCGTTATAGGATACAAATTATCGGTCATACTTTCAGTTATTTGTTTAATAGCGTAGAATTCTTTGCACAGTGTAGAAAAGAGGTTGGTAATATCGTGAGGTTTTTCCGAAAATGACCCGTAATGTTCATTATTAATATTAATATTTCTATTAATCGTATTAGTACGGTGATATCTTTAGTCTATATATATGGAGTCAAGTCAGGACCTTTGTTGGTAAGTCCAGGTCTACGTGTTTCGTGTTTAAAATGATCTAATTTTTTACTATGCTGCAATCTGCTGCTATGGGTCGTAATGAGATTTTAATAGTCGCTCCAAGAAATAGATTAACAAATCCTTTTTGATGCTGCGTCACCTTATAGGAAAAGAGCATATACACGAGGTACTTGCAAAAGATGACGTATTTAGTTTTAAAGAAATGATGAGGAAGAAAATACCAGGAGACGCAATGTATGCTGAAGGATTCGGAGATTCGAGATATAATATAATGGTAATTAAAGAGTATATTTCGAAAAGGTTGGAGATATATAATGAACGAATGCAAACAAGCCTTCATTCGAGTATACAGAAGTATTTTGGTGAAAGTAGGGAACCGAAAGTTTTAATAATTTGCACTTTCCTTTGAAAAAAGTTATGGCCGCTCTTACTGCAAATATTTTTGTTGGCGAAGTAAGCGTACATGTTTAATTTTTTTTTAAAAAAAAAAGGAGCATGAAATCAAATCTTATGATTATGATAATTTCTTATTTTTTCTTAGGAGGAAGCAAAAAATGATGAGGTTATAATTACATTTGCAGAAATTACACGTGATATTGCAATATTTCTTGCAATACCACCAATTCTCGATTTTATATATCCAGGGCTTCAAGACTTTATTAATCATATTCCAGTTAGGTTAGGATTATACAATCCAGCAGCTAAACATCGAAATATCCTAGTTAAACATATAAAGAAACAGGTCGATAAACGGTTAAAAGAGAAAGTATGTCAGGATTCTTGGGAACGCCCTAATGATTTAATTCAAGAGTTTATAGAAGAGAAAACTTTTGATCCTAACAACATTGATTACGCTGCGATTGCTGAATAACTGGCTCTTCTTACCTTTGCGTCGATCACAACTTCAAGGAGTTGTACAAACGCCTTTATCGATTTGGCGTCTCGACCTGAATATATACAAGAATTATATGAAGAACAACTACAAGTAGCTAAAGAAGCAGATAAGAATGGTATACTCCCATTTGAAGCTCTTGATAAAATGAAAAAATTAGATAGCTTTGTTAAAGAATCTTTGAGGTTAACTGGAGATGTAATAGGAATTCCACATCTGGTATTGAAAGATTATAAATTTTCAAATGGGTTACAATTGCCAAAAAATCATGTGGTGGATTTGTATTTTGATGATATTTGTCACGACAAATCATTACAGGGGACAAATCCGAAATCATTTAAACCATTTAGATATGTAAATAAAAATTCTCCGGCATCAAAAATTAGCAAAGATTTTACGAGATTCGGAGGTGGTAAACACGCGTAAGTATAATAATCTATTAAATGTCTCGTTTCTCTCATAAATAAAAACAAGCGCAAACTAATTAAAAAATTGGAAATTGCTTAGATGTCCCGGAAGATTTATTGTGACAGCACAAATTAAACTTTTTATGCATAATATAATATTAAAATATAACTTTCGTACGGAAAGTGGTAAAGTTGAAGAAAAATTGAGAATTGGACCGAAGACATTCCCAAGCGCTTGTGGGGTTATTTTCGAAAAGAGAAATGCCATCAATTGAGAATTTTGTGTAATATTTTAAAATAATTTGGTTCATTTATATCAAATTAATCTCTAAATTTAAAATAATTTATTTTATTTAAACGAAAAATTTTTTTTTCCTTTTAACATAGGTTATTAACCTTAAGTAAACGAAATTCTCGATCTTCTTTTCTTTTTTTTTTTTTTTTTTCATACAACAAATAAATGTTAAATTAAAAACGATCAATCACTATTACATTGTTAATATTGAAATTTCTGAAATAAAGTGTTAAAGAAAAGTTACAAGCAGTCCAAATAGATAAAATCAATGGTATAAATAATAAAAAAATAGCAGGCATGCTTAATTTTATCACATTTTGCCGATCAATTTTCTGATCATTTATTCATTTTATCACATATAAAAATGCAATCCTACATAATAATATATGTTAAATTTTTATAAGTAGCTGCATTTTAATATAATGAACTAGCCAGTATTTTTTTTTCTAATACCCATGACAGGCATGTAAACATAGGATAATATAACACTATAATAGTTTGTCTTATTATATTTTATTGGTTGATTTAATTATATAGAATTTTGTGTTTATATATATAACTTAAGAATTCTAGTCATAGCAACATTTAATATTAGGTGTCAAATTTATTTTTTAAAAAATATTACGTGATATCAGCCTGCATTAAGAATTTATTATAATTTTATTTAAAAATTAAAATTTGGTTAAAATATCATGAAGTATATTATTAAAAGATTTTCTAGCCAAATGTTCTATTTCTAAATAAAGAAATATGATCTAATATAATAGAAATACTTATTGCAATCTGTTCTATATGTAATTATAATTATTTCTTGAATAATGATTTGTACACTCCAATGCATTTCAATATAATTAAACTTTGTAGAGAAATTTTAAATAGAAGTTACCTTATGATCTTTACTTTTAATAATTTCTTGAATTATGTATTTTTGAGCAAGAAATATGGGTTAATTTTCTAAAATATGTTGCATATAACTTTAATTATTTGTTAAATCCTTATTTTTACAAAATCTTTTAAAACCTGATATTAATAATTAATATTTATGTAAAATTTGTTTCATTTCTTTTTATTTTCTATGATATTTTTTAGGATAATTATTAGGAAAATTCATAAATTGAACATTAATATTAAAAATAGTGTTTTTCATTTTTAGTTATTTACCACCTAATTCTACATTCATATAGCTTACAATAAAAGCATCAGAACTAAATGCATTATATAAAATAAAATTATCAAATGCAAAAATAGTAACACTTTAGGATGAGTTACTTCAAATATTAGAATTTCATAATCAATAACCTATAACTATTATTATTAATTCTTGGATTTATTATTATTCTAACTTTATGTAAAATATTATTAGCAACTTTATTCTTTACTTAATTGTAATCATCTAATTATTTCTTACAAAAAATCGCTAATATTAATATTTCTTACTTTTTCTTTTTTGTAAAATGGTTACTTTCTATATAATATTATCTTATATCATTAGAATGAAAGGTATTTATTATAAATTATCAGAATATACAAATGTTCATTTTTTTGTAAATCATGATTAATTTGAATATTTAAATTATTATTTTCAAATTTTATATTAATTTTTCACAATAAGATTTAATAAAAATTAATTGAATAAAATAAAAATAAAATTATTTTTATTTAAAATATTAGATTTTTTATCCCACTATTTGTTCTAAAAACTTTAACCTATTTATAATTATATCAGATCTTTTATGAACATTAACTTAAATATCTTTTATAAATTATTTAAACTTAAATCCCATTTTATTAAGCAAATTTTTTGTCATTTTATATTTAATTGAGAATTTAAATTAATTTTAAATTAATAAAACAAGATTTTTAATTCAAACTTAATAATTATTTTCTGTTCTATTCTAAATAATAGAAAACTAAAATTTTTATATAATTTAACAAAATAGCAATATAAAATTTAAATTTGTTTTATGTAAGTTTATTGCTATTTACACTTGAACATCTTTATTATTAAGTAAATTTTAATTTGTAATATTTTTCCTATTTATAAAATATATTCTTTTATTTAATTACCATATAATATTAAGATTTGCTTTAATTTTTAGTTCTTTATAATTAATAAGCTTAAGATACTGCAATAAGACAGTTAATATTAATTTATAATCATCATTAAAATTACTACTCTTTATTTACTTTTAAGTGATTTAATTAATTGTTTAATTAAAATTTTCTTAAAAATTCAAATTTTGATTAAAATTTTAATTATCAGATTTTTGATTATCAGTTTTATTAATATTGATAGATAAATGAAATTAAAGTGATAATGTATTAAAATTTTGTTATTTTCTAACCATTTTCAATTAAGAGCTTTTTGGTTTATACTTTTTTTTTATTTTATTCTACAGAATTCTAATATAAAATAATTTTCAGATGGTGATATATAATTTTCATTCTATTTAATATGATATTAACAAAGTTTCATCCTTTTTATTAAGCACAATTTCTCCCTATATAATTTTTTCATTGTTTAAATTATCATTAATATTCAAAAGAATTAAGAGTTTGTTTTATTTTTTTCTTGCTTATTTTTAGCTAAATTTTTTTATTTGTTTTTTATAAAAAATGAAAAAAAATTTAATCAAAAAAATTTTTTTTTAGTAATATATGCAAAAATCTTTTTAATATTAAATTTGTAGATTTCATATATATAACTAAAAAAATTTACATGTGAAAATTAGATAATAACTATATAAAAAGTGATTAGATTTAAAAAATTTTATTATAGTTTAAAAGTTAAAAATAAATTAAAGTAAAGTATAATAAGTTTTAAAAATAACTTTATTTTTTAAAAGTAGATAAATTTTAAAAGAATATATCAAATTTTTATACTAAGATTTTCAAGTTATAGTATAATTAATTTTATTAAAATATATAAATAATAGTAAATATTTTATGAATATTAATAAATAAAAAAATTAAATTATATATTATTATAAAAAAATAAAAAATATATAAGTAATTAGTAATATAAATAAATATTTTATAAATATTAATAAACAAATAATAAAATAAAATTGTATATTATTTTTCATTATATAATATAAAAGAAAAAATAATTCTTTTTTATTGTAAAGAGATTTATTTTTTATATAAAATTATAAATTTTTATTAGAGTAAGTTTATTAGTAATATGATATGAATTTAGTTATTAATTAAGTTAATTAAATAAATTGTTAATAAATAAATTATAAAATAGATAAGAATTTATTTTAAATATAGTTTTTAATTATTAGTATACTAATATTACATCAGAATCAGTTATGAAAGTAGATTTCAAAATGAATATATTTATATTATTTTATTAAAGTATCTATTAAAAGCAATATAAGCTTAACCATTTAAAAATATATTTTTATTTAGAACAAGAGTGATTTTAAGATATTTTTTCAATATAATAAATTTCTTTTTTAAGTAAAAGTAAAAGTATTTTTTATTAAATTAATTTAATAATAATAATAATTTATTTATATTTTTTTATTACTTATTTACCTTATTTAAATATTTATTTCTTATTTTGATTAAAAAAAAGATTTTATTATTTTGTTTAATATTAATTATGAAATATGTATAAATTATATATAAGAAAAGAATATACTTTAATTGTTTATTTTTTTATGTATCATTATATGATCAGCATATAATAATTTATTTTTTTAAAAAAAAACTAACAAATAGACTATTGATTTATTAGAAAGGAGGATGAGCAAAATTCTTTTAAATTTAGAATTCAGATTTATCATTTTTAATCCTAAATCTATAATCAAGGATTATAAATTTAAATTCACAAGTAAAGTTTTCTAGTAAATTATAATTAAAAAAAATATATCTAATAAGTATTTTAATGATTATTCAGCTGAGACCTTATAGGTTATATTATTCTAAAAATATATAAAATAAAAGCTGTATTACTAAAATTAATAATACAATAGATTACTAAATCAGAAAATTTTAGCTGCGATTTTACACTAACATATTAAAATTTATTGAAATATAATTATTATTAGATAAGTTATAATAAAAGTAACATTTTGCAAAAATTAATATAATTATAATAATATATGATTTAGATTTAAAATATTCAAAAAGTTGTTTCAAATATAACTTTTATTTTATTTAAAATTTTATTATAATACTTTTATATTATATTCTGAAATTACTTAATTATTATTTTAACTTTAAACAAACTTATATAAAATACTTAATCTTGATTTATTGTTTTAGAAATATATTATATATAATCTAACATATTTTGTAATATTCCTGATGTTTATTTAAATCTTTAAATTTTAGATTAGCTGATTTTATATAATATAATAATTTAATTATATATAATAAGTAAAATGATCAATATACTAATATAATCAAATCTACTATACTTTTATAAGCAGAGTATTTCAAGAAATTTGTAGCTAGAAAGAAGACTTAAATCAAATAGTTTTTTCAAATTAGATATTCATAAAAGAAGTAAATTATTAGACTATTTAACAAAAATAATTGCAACAAGAAAAAAGTAATATCTAATATTTCTTTTTATTATATATACATACAAAAAATGATAAATAATAAATAGTATAAATTAATATATACAGTCAACCCTCTCTAAATACACCCCTTTGAAACCATAGTGAAAATTTTAAAAAATATGCATTTAAAGAGAGTGTGCATATAAAGAGAAATTTCTATATGTATTCTATATGCTTGGAACTGAACGAGAATATGCATTTAGAAAGAAAATATATAGTATGTGTATTTAAAGAGAGTGTATTTAGAGAGGATTGACTGTAATCTTAAACCTCTAACCTTTAACTATCTAATTTTCTAATTAAGCAAGTTATTATAAAAAAAAATATTTTTTTTTTGGTAGTTTTTTTATAAATAAATAAAGTAGTTATAATAATTTGAATTGTAATAATTAAATTTTATTTTTTATAATTAAAAATTATAAGAAACTATTAGAAGGATTTTTTGAAAAATCAGGTTTTAAGAGAATTTTACTAATAATTTTATTTAAAAAAATTTCTGGTTTAGTCATCAATATAATTTATATTTTTATAAAATAATTTTTTTTTTTATTTTTAATTTACAAAATTAATAATATTTTTTTTTTAAATTAAACAATTTTAATTATTTTTTTTTTTTTTTTGTAAAAAAATACTTTAATAATTTAAATTTCTAATAAATTATATAAAAAATCATTTAATCTAAAATTTATATTTCAAATTTCAAATTTTCAAAATTATAAAAGTAAGAAAATTTATTTATGTATTTAAATTAATATTATTAATAAAAACAATTAATTGATAAAATTTAAATCTTATCGAATATATAATAAAATAATAAAAATTATTAGTTTAAAAATAAAATGATTAACTAAAAATATTTTATTTAATTTTTATTAATAAAATTACTTTTATATAATAAGTAAATTATATATATAATAAAAATTTATTTATTTTATTTTATAATAAATTTTAATTGTTCAATTCAATATTATTATATAATTTATATAATAAAAGTTTAATTTTAATAATATTTACAAATGAAAATATTTTTATTTAAAAATCTAATTATAATAATATATATAATATAAATAAATATTAATTTAAATAAATTTAATAATAAATTTAATATATTACTTTGCTAAAACCCTCTGATTTAGTGATTGTAATTCTACTAATATATAACTATCATATGACTATATAATCATATATTAATGGTATTTTTTTGTTTGAACATATAATTTTTACTTATATCAGCTGTATATATATAATAAAAATATTAATTTAATTATAATTTTAAATAGATTATTTTTTAAATAAAAAAAATATTGTATTATCTAATTTCTTTTATGCTAAAATAATATTATTTATAAAGTAATATTCAAAATTTTTTTAAAGTATTTTTTTTATAAACATTTATTAACTTTTAGTTTTTAATAATAATAAGTTAAATAAAATAATTTTTATTTATTAATTATAGTAAAATTAAAAATAAGTTTTTTTTTAAAAAAAAATACAAATTTGAATAAAATGATTACTTTATCAAAATATCATTTCTAAATATACTTAATAATTTTAAAAATAAACTTTATACAAATTTTTTGAATTTTAAAAATTATTTAATACATTTAAAATAAAATTTTATTATTTAAAATATGTTTTCATTAAAATTTATTATATAAACTATTTATAAAACTAAATAATTGTAATATCATATTATTTAATTTTAATATATGTCTTTAAATATAAAATTAATATTTAAAATTACCTAATATATTAAAAATAAAGCTTTATAATCAGTTTCTCAATACATATATATTAAAATAGAATTATAATATAATTTATTGATTAAAATAAATAAATATATTACAAAATTTGAATCGCAAATATATTTTTTTAACTTCAGATTTTTGATCTAATCTTTAATATTTTAAGATAAATAATTGTTAAAAAATTAGTTAAATGCAATTTTTAAAAATATATTGCAAATAAAAAATGTATAATAAAAAAAATATGTAAAATGTAATTTTTAAATATTATGCAAAGTTCAAAAATAAATAAATAAGTTTTAAAGTATATAAAGTTGAACCAGATTCTTAATATTATATAGTATAATACTAGTAGGTTTTATTATCAGAAAAGAAGTAAACATATTAATAAATAGTGAATTCAAAAAGATATTTAAAATTAAAGTTCCTAATGAGTCAAATTGAGTCAAGTTACAAGTCAAAATTATCTTATATACCTTTAAGTTAAAGTACTTATTTATTATGATAACTAAAATTTATAATTATGCAAGCTAAATATGTGAGTTTATGCAAGTCATTTTCAGAACTCTATTTAAAATATTATATATTTAAAATATCATGAATAATATATCTTTCTACTATTAATTACTAGTAGATTTCAAACATTTTTTTCATCCTATTTAAAGTTTTAGATTTAACTAAAAAATATATTGAATTAATTTTAATATTTATCAAAATATTCATAATAAATAATAATTAAAGAAAATTATTATTACCTATTTTTATACTATATTATAAAGTCAAAAATTCATAAATAATTATCATATAATATTTTAAATAAATAATTAGAGAAATAGTTAATTAAATGAAAGATTAAAATTAAGCTCTGAACAGTTTAGTTTAGTTTAAATTAAAAGCTAATCTGAATTTGATATAAAATTTAGTTTAATTAAGTTTAGTTTATTAATCTTAAAAATGCTAATTTAAATTTGAACTGAACTATAAACTAATAAAAATTCAACTAAACTAAAATTTTTAGATTAATCTGAAATTTTAATTTAATTATATGTAAATCTCAAAAGAAAATCTGCAATTTATATAAACTTTTAAAGAAATTGCAATCTTATAGTAAACCTCAAAATATATTTGTAACTTTTATGATTCTCAAAAAGAATTCACAAGTGATTCTTAAAGTTTTACAAATTTTTTGCAATTTTTAAAAAGTTTCATAAATTTTTTATAATTTTTGAAGAAAATTTGCAAGCAATTCTCAGAATTTTAATTTTTTACAATTTTTGAAGAAAATTTGCAAGCAAATCTTAAAAAGTTTTACAAATTTTAATAATTCTTAAAGAATATTTTGCAAAATTTTTATGAATCTTAAAGAAAATTCATATGTGAATCTTAAAAGTTTTTGCAAAATTTTCACAATCCTCAAATCTTTGAAGAGAATTTGCAAACAATTTTTAAAGAGTTTCACAAAATTTTTGTGATCTTTAAAAAAAATTCACAAATAATTCTTAGAGTCTTGCAAATTTTTTACAATTCTCAAAGAAAACTAATAAGTGATTCTTAAAGAATTTGTAAATTTTTTATGATTCTTGAAGAGAATTCACAAGCAATTTTTAAAGAGTTTCACAAATTTTTTGCGATTTACAAAAAAAAATTACAAGTGATTCTTAAAGAATTTGCATATAAATTGCAAATTCTTTCTGAAAATTATATATAATCAAACTAAATTTTTAGATTAATCTAAAATTATCAGTTTAATTAAAATTTTTTTAGTTCAGATTAGAATTATAATCTGAAAAAAATTTGAATTGAACTGATAATTTTTAGATTGATTTTTATGAAATTTAAAACTGATCTGAACTGAAAATCTTCAGATTAATTCAAAACCATTTAGAACTTTAATTATAATAGATAAATATTTAACTAAAACTAAATTATAGAATACAGATAAATTATTAATTGACAGATAAATTACTTACTGAAAAAAAGAATAAATTATTACTAAAAATTAAATAACTTCTAAATTAGAATAATAAAGAATTTTTAAAAAAGAAATATAATATTATTAAAAATAACAGAATTAACAGAATATTTTAGATTAAAAATAATAGAAAATTACAGAAATTACAGAAAGAAATTAGAAAATACAGAAATTATAGAAGCAAAATATTAGAAAATTATAGGATCTATAGAAAAGAAAAATCAAGAAATTAATTTTATATAAATAAACTAGAATTTGCAGTTTGTAGGAGACCTTTTTTTCTATTTAGTATAAAATAATTAATCATATAACTAATTTAATTAAACTTTAATAAATAAAAATATAAAACCAAATTTTTGAAAACATTTAATTATAATTATAAAAAAGAAGTTTAATTTTTATTAATTATATTAATTTTTCTAATTTAATTTTCTTTGCAATTAATTTTTTTTTTTAATTATTTTTATTAATTTTTATTTTAATTTGTATTTTATTTTAATATAATTGATTTTTTATTTCTGCCTTTAATTAAGATGATACTCTATTTATTTACCTATTAATTTTTTATGAAAATGTTAAAAAAAGATTGAGAAATGGCAGAATATTCATAATCTTTTAAGTACTAAATATTTAAATAAAATTTTTCAAATTATAAATGCATGCATTTATTAATTAATTTACCTTTCATCAGAAGTTTAAATAAGTTGATTATTATTAATGATCATTAATTATAAGTAATATCCAATAATATATACATAGATATGTTTAAAAAATGCATTTATAAAGATTTGCATTTTGAAAACTTGCTTAAATATGTATTTTATAACTGAGAAAATATTTTAAACTATAATTACAATAATCTACACTTTAAAAATTATTTTAAATATGCAATCAATTAAATAATTACTTTAAAATACAATAGTGATGATTTACATTCTAAAAAATGTGACAATATATATCTTAAATATAATGATAATTGATAAGCTAGGAAAAATACTTATTGATTAAAAATTGATTTTCTTTATGTAATCTTAGGATAATATAAATAGTGTGAGATATAAAATCTAATGGGATTACATTATATTCTTACAGCATCCTTAACTAAGGGTAACTATAAATCTCTATTAGCTCACGATCTCCTGAAAGTTGCAGTTCTTGACAAGCTATTAACAAATAATTCACCAAGTAATAATACCTGATTTGAAGATATAAGGGATTCTATAGGATAAGTATAAATAAAATGAATAAAAGTTGATATTGTTACTTATTTTCTAAAGCATATTTCTTGATTAGTAGTATAATTAATAGTCTTATTTGTAACTATTACAAATGCTATGACACTGAACTATAGAATATTATTATATGATGCATCTGTATAGATAATATCTGTAGATTGCAATATTGCACTCTTGTACAAATATATAAAACTATCATTATTATCTATAAAAATTATAAAAGTGTTATTTAGAAAAGTATTAAGAGAATTAATTAAATTTTCCATTCCTTCAATTTGCAAAGAATTCATCAATCCTAATTGCTAAAAAGTTTACAAGCATTCTTCAAATGATGAAATATATACATTTTGAAATCTACCTGATAGTATTCTACATTTTTATATTTTTGTTTGTTCTATAATCTCTAACAAAGATTTTTCTGAATCTAAGTTAATTACATAAGTTTTTATTAATTTTATTGTTTTTTTAAAAAAAAATAATCAAAATTTCTTACTTTATTTAGAATCTAATTCATAATATCCTTTTTATTACTTTTTCTATAAGGATTTTTGATGTAGAATTTATGTAAAATTTCATGTCTCCATTATAAATCTGTTGATTGTTTCAAATTAATGAATTACTAATATCACATGGTATCTCCAAAAATGTAATTTTAGTAAGCACATATTGCTGATACTAAACTGAGAGAATATCGTCACAAATTTACAAATCTATTTTATAATCAAATTTTATAAAGAATAATATAGTATTTAATAAGTCAAGTTATAGTATATAAGATTTCTAAGTGGGAATTTTATTATTTAATAGATTAAATATATACCTTAAATATGACTAGATCATTATCTAAAAAAATCTTCTTTATGGCTCATTAGATACATTTGAACAAAAAACTAATATACTGAAGTTAATTGAACTAAAGATATAAATTGATTATCACTTTTTCAAATTAATTGATTTTCTCATTAAATAAACTATCAACTATTAAAATTATCACTTTTATTACTATTCGATACTCATCTGTTATTTGTATAACAGTTATTCTATCCTTAAAGATTTCAATCCTGAAAACCTTAGAATTGCTGCAAGTTGATTATTAAATTCTTTAATCGCTTATTTTTCACACTGTTTTACTAATAGCTTTTGCATATAATCTAATATATATTTAAAGAGATCTAGGTCTAAATGATGCATCCGATTGGACAAAATTACTTTATAAACATTCAGATTCCTTTAACAAATTTAAGTAGAAATATTAAAATTTATGATTTTGCAAATATTTTGATATATCTAATTTTTTACTTACAGAAATTTCCAGAAAATGTAATATTGATTATGGATTAAATATTCATGAGCATTTTTTCTTGAATTATAAAAGCTATTAATTTAGATATTCGAATAATTACATCTTTCACTAAAAGAATCATATTATTTAAGTTTTTAATATATATAATATAATTAGGAAATAGACTTATACAATTAGACAATTTATAAGTAAATATAATAGTATTAGCTTTTAGCATATCTATAAGAAACACAGATATTTTAGGAGAAAATGTAATTTGTATCCTATTAATAATTAGTTTCATTTTTTCAAGTTCTAGAATAGGATATTCTAACATTATTTCATAACTCTATATGTAATTATTCAAAAAATAATCAGAATTTCTGGTTGCCAAGTATTACTTCAAAGTATTGGTAAATATCCTAATAATACTTTGACATTTTTTATATTTCTTTGTCAAGAAGGAATATTACCTAAAGTAATAAAAACTGGATATTGTTAAATTTTACTCAAATTGTCATAGAGAATCACATCAGAGTATAATATTATTGACAACAATCAGCTTTCAAATTTTAACTTAAATTCTGCCTGTTGTTACCAATCACAATTATACAGTTTAGTAAAAATTTGAGAAGAGCTACTATCCTATAAAATATATCAAATTAGACATATAAGTTATTTAACAAAGATAAATACATTTACATATTATATTTTCTTTTCTTTTTTCTTTAAATTAAAATGCTAAATATTTAATCATATCTGATTTTTATTGGAGTACTTTAATAGTCTTTATTATTAGACGGTAATGAAAATCATATGAAATATTTTTGAAATCAATTATATTTTTTTTTAAAATTAAGATTTGGTATCATTATTGAGTTCATATATTTATGCATCTCTTTGGAACTTTTTAGCAAAGATGATACCTCCAAATTTGTATATTTGTTAAAGAAATAGATAAAAGAATCTGTAGCTTAATTTGATGATCATAATCAACATAAATCTTTGCAAAGTTTGATAAATCTCGTTAGGCTATAGTAAAATTTAATTCTCAATTATCTCTATTATTACATCTTTAAAATTAGTCACGTAAAGTCTTCAGAATTTATTAAGTCAGTTTTTGTATCAGAATCTTCTACAATAAAATTATTATTATTATTATTATATTTTGTAGAAGAATCATCTAGGATAGAATCATCTGCAATTCCTATACTATTATAATTAGTTTCTATATCTTTAAAAATATCATCTTATATTTCAATTATTTCTAGAGTAAAGTCAGAAAAACCTAATACATTAACTATTAAAATATTATTTAAATTCTTTATATATTTTAAATTAGTAATAGTGTTATTTATCTAATAAATATTGAAATATCTTTTATATTTTTAGAATCCTACCTTGATATCAAATAATTCTAAATCTTTAAATAATTTATTGTCTTGGAAAGTCTGCATCTTGATCACTAATGTGAATTTGTATATTTAAATGATTATCTATATAAATATATCAGTTTTGAATATGTTGTGTTATTTTGTGAAAGTTTTATGACATTCTTCATAAGAATAATATAAACTTATTATATTGTAAAATATTTTATTAAAAATTGTATCTTTTATTTTTAAATTTTAAATTATGATTTTACAGATTTAAATATTTTATAAGCTTAAACAATATAAATCAGTAAATTAATAAACATGATTATATTAAAATTTAATAAACTTCTATTAACATACAAATCAATAAATCAATAAGTATGATTATATTAAGATTTTAATAACTTTTATTATAATACAAATCGATAAATTATATTAAAATTCAAATTATATGAAACTATAATAATAATATCAATATTAAATATCAATATTAACTTTTTTTAAATAGGTTTATGGGAATAATAAGATCATTAATATAAATTAACTTTTTTTTAAAATGATTCATTTCTTTTTATAAATTTTTTTACAAAAATGGTTGATTAAATAAATATTTCTTTATTATAATCAAGATTTACTTCAGATTCAAAATATAATTTATATAAATGATGAAAAGAAATAGTTTAAAAAGAGGAAGAAAACGTAAGATAAAATGTGATTCATATTATAAATTCATACTTATTCAATTTTCATTCCAAAATAACAAACTTCAGCAGCCAGAAATGTATTAAAAATACATGATTCTCTTAGAATTTCTTTACAAAATTTACCAGTACAGATATCTACTGCAACTTTAAAAAAAGAAAGTTACTTGAACCAATCATTACAAGTACATTTGTCTGTATTTTTTATTAATTATTTTAATATCATTTATAATCTTTCAATATAATCTAGATTGTTAAAAAAGTTATTATTAAAGGATTCATTATAAATATCACATGCTTTTTCTTAAAATTGTAGAAATACTTAAAGTAAAATAAGTAGATTAAAAAAACAATTAAGACAATCATGGGTCATATAAACTAATGTATCAAACTTCTAAAAATATTATGTTACAAATTAATAACAGGTCATATGATATTTATGAAAAGATAGGTAGTAATGAAGGAAAAGATAATGATGATAAATAGATGGTAATGATATTTATGAAAGAAAAGAATGTGATGATGCTTATTAAGAAAGAGATGATGATAATTTTTATGAAAAAAAGAAAGTGATAATATTCATAAAAGAAGTAATGATAACTATTCTTTGGATGATAACATTGATTCTACTAATAAATATAACAATCAAGATATTTTGTAATATAATATTTTGAATATATTAAGAAATATAAACAAAAGAATATAGTTAATATTAAGCTAATAAAAATATCTGAAAAATGTGTCGCTAATATAATATAAACTTAATATTTAAATATATTTATTAATTTTATATTAAAAGCTAATTCTTTTTCATTATTGATAAATTAATAGATAGTAATAATAGTTATTTGATCCCTTCAAAATTTTTAGAAAGATTAAATACTCAGAACAAAATCCTTTGGAAAATCAACTTAAATAAGATAAAAAAACTTGATGAAATGATAAAAGTTATTTTAAAACTACAACAGAAAGATTGTTTGTCATCCATCTTTTTTAAAGTAAGTAATAGTTTAAAAATGTATTTAACATAGAATTTAAGCAATTTATTAAGTTTTTATTTCTGATACAATAGAAAGGTATTGTGGCTATTACTAAAAATATTCAAAAAGTATCATTATATTTAATGCAGAATTATTTAAAGAATATCTCAAGACTTATATTAAAATGTGATTTAAAGGATACATAAAGGATATTGAAGAACGTAAATGGGATTCTCAATTTTATTTAGAGTTTTTATTTATAATAAGCATTACACTACTTATAACTAATTGTTTTTTATTATTTTTTAATTTGAATTTTATAATATCTTGAAAAAATGAGACACTGTTAAAGTGTTATCACTAAGGATATATAGCTTGTATTCTTTAAAGTTTTTCCTAAAGTTCTAGAAATCAAGGCAAATACAAGTATTAAAATTGCAGAATGGAAGAAATATCATAAGATTTTAATGCATATAAAAGTTTATGAAAGGTAGAAGATGCGAGTCTTATAATAATTAACATAATAATTATAAAAGCTATACTTAAAGAATAAAGAGAATACTGCTTAATACTACTAATAGTTGCCTTTATACTCACAGTTTGCTGTATTATTTTAAATCCACATGGTAAAAATATTTGATATACTAAAAAGTTATCAAAAAACATTGTATCATTTTCTTGGTAAATACTTACTTTTGTATTTATACTTAATTAATATTATTAAATATTACTTTTATAGATACGATTAAATGCAAAACAAGCATTAAGTGAAAATGATGTTACAGATATTTAAGATGACTTAAAAGACATAAGCAAAACAAATAATTATGACAATAATAATGTTAAAAAAATTTTAAGGATAATACTAATGATAAAATAAAACTATTTAAATAAAACTTATAGTGTTTTTTAACTTTAGTTAAAATTAATCTAAACAACTTTTATTTATTTTTTGCAATTATTAATATACATATATATTGCTATAAATTTTTACTTGAATAAATAATAATATTTTCAATTCTGCAAAATGAATATTTCTGAAGTTTTAATAAATGATAATTTTTGCAGTGATATTTCTATAATAATTATTTTTACAGTTGATTAATAACAATTATTTCTGCAGTTTTATATACTCATAGATCATTAAATAGGATGAAAAATAATATAGTTATTAGTATCTAAAGAAGTTCACAAATACTTACATTATTTAAACTCCTGATATTATTATCTTATATCATACCTAAACCTTTCAATATTAAATATACTCAATTAAAAAAAAATGTAATATTATTATAATTAGAAAAATATATTAATAAATCTTAATAAGCAGAATTAATTACATTTGTATATATTATTTAATTTTTAATTTTTAATTAAATTTACATTTATTATAATAAAGAAAAATTAAAATCTTTCAATTGCACTTTCAGATAAATTTACATAAATTATTTTAATATTAATTTTACCATCTTACTGAATTTAGATAATTATTTAAATCTTTATACTCTTTTAAAATAACCCCCTTTTCATATTTTTCAATTATATCAAGATAATCCTTATTCAATTTTGAATAATTCATTATTACAGTGGCTGATAAAAGAAATATAACAACTTATTTTTTAGCTTTAAATGCTTATAATCTATTAATTATAAATGTTAGAAATATAATTTTTGATTTATTTTAATCCTTACATTTTAGAAAACATCCTATAAAAATTTATTAGCCAATAAATAATGCCAATTTTGTATAATGTAAAGATCTACATTAAAAATAATACTTAATAACTTTTGAGCTTAAAAAACTTTTTAAGCAGGCTAGCTATCATAAAACTAATACTGGATTCTGATTCTCTTCTATATGACAATAACTACAAGCTAAATTTCATTCAAATCAGACCATCTGATCAGGAGTTATCGTACAGCAAAAATCAGCATTTTACTATATAAAATTGGTTAGATTTATTTTTCATAGTAAAATGCCAATCTTTGCTGCACGATAACTCCTGATCAGATGGTCTGATTTAAACAAAATAAAATCATCATGCAGAGGAGAATCAGAATTCCAGTTTCAGTTTTATGATAGCTAGTCTGCTTAAAAAAGTTTTTTAAGCTCAAAAGTCATTAAGTACTATTTTTAATGTAAATCTTTACATTATACAAAATTGGCATTATTAATTGGCTAATAAATTTTTATAGGATATTTTCTAAAATGTAAAGATTAAAATGAATCAAAAATTAAGTATCTAGCATTGTAGTTAATAAGTTATAAGCTTTTAAAGCTAAAAATAAGTTGCGTTTCTTTTGACAGCCGCTGTAATTATTATATTATATATCCATATTTGTAAAATAAGCAGTTTCATCAGGATCACCCTTTGCCTTTACTTGCTGATTTATAGACTTCTTACCTCTAAGATGCATTTTAATAAGTCTTTCTTCTTTTGTAAAGGTATATTGACAAGTACAGTGTTATCATAGGATGTTGATGGATATTAATAGGATGTTGATAGAATATAAATAGAACAGATGGGATATTTGGGATATAGTGTAAGACAGATTAGGACATATAGCTGGAATAGCAAATCTCTAGAACATCAAAAATGTATATCACTGGTCAAGTGGTTTAAACTCTGAATTGTTAAATGGAATGTTATCAACCACATAACTAAAGTCTGGCCTTTGTCATATGCCTTTAACTGACTAGTTTAAATGAACTTCATATTCTTTTAATGGTCTGAGAAATACTAGTTGTATATGAGGATGTAGGAATTTATAACGGTATAAATTCTCAGTCTTAGCTAAACAGCTAAACAGTGTACTGGAAGATCACATCTAAAAATAACTTACAAATCATTTAAACTATGAGCAGCAGTCCTGCTCAGTTCAGTTGTATCAGCATCTATAAAACATCTTCATTATTACATGTTTAATTGTAAAGTTTTGGATAATAATAGATGCTAAAGATAAATTAGTGGATAGATTAGTGAATAGATTAACCTGACATGTTAATCCACCATTTTTAGCCTTTTCAACTGCTTGTTTTTGATGTTTATGCTATTAACCTTCCACTAATGTTAAAGAAGTAGTAAGAAAGCTGTAGCATAGCAGTAATCAAAGTTTTCATTTTTTTCCCATACCTCTATCAAGGATACCATATTCAGTTTTGTGATATCTGCAAGGTCAATTTCAAATTGTTCAAATTATTCATATATTGTAGAGTTTCAGTTTGTGTTAAGGTGATAGACGCGATTGATGCAGGAATAAAATCTGTAAAATCTGTACATGATATGTGTATTCTCTAAGTATTCCCATTTATACTAAATTCAGTTGAAAGAAATATATTAACTTCTTGTTAGTAACTGCATATTTGAATCAATAGGATACTACTTCAGAATCTGTGCAAAAGCAAGCAATAAGTGTGTGCAATGATAACTTTTGCTCTTAATTTTACTTTTATACTAACATGTTGACTTCTTTGATACTTCTAAGCATCTTTTTTGTATCATGCATAATTATTCGAGTTGCTCATATCTAAACAGATTATAGTCATACAAAAATGTATTAAAATAGAGACAACAATGAATAAAGTTCAATGTCATTCTAATAGTTGAACTTCAGGACACCTTTGATGATAGATCTTATATAAATATTAAAATAGAAAGAATTAGTATATTGATTAAAGACTAACTAAACTAGTAATAGTAGGAGACTTTCATACAAGCACACATCAGAGATGCAGACTGTAAGGTAGGTAAGATACAGATGCTCACTGTAGATGCATGTACAAGAGATTTTGTGGATTCGTTTCTACTGTTTGAAAGTGATTAGCTGTTTGTTTCTTAATGTTATCTGGAGACAATTCTAAGTATTTATCAGGAGATTCTTTGTTGATAAGAAGACAATCTATAATAATAGCTTTTCTATCTCTTTTCAGGTATGAATCAATCATCTTAGTTGGAGCATCTTTTAGGTTATACGATCATTATTTTCTTGCCTGAAGATGACTTGTTTTTTTGCTTGAATAGGTTTATGATATCATGTTTCAGCTCGTTTATATACAAAAGCATAACATTATTATCAAAATGGTTGTTAATAGAAGCAGTTGATAATAGGTATTGTCCAGCTATCTTTATTAGGTTTTGATATTCATCACTAGTAAGCGGAAAAATTGAAGGATTATCGTTAAGATTAGTATCAAGGGATTTTTTTAGTTTGTAATAATATTTATAGTGATTTAATATGTCTGTGAATAGAAGAATTGGCATGGGTATATAAGGATTTGTGTTGGTGGGTGGTTGTTTAGGAAGGTATTTTTTTGCAGAAATAATTACAGTTTGAGAGAAAAATTTCCAGGTGGCATTTAATGAGTTTAAAGAGATGGCAATTTCTTCAATTGTACAATTCGCATAAAGCAGATTTGATTTAAAAAAAGACATGAATGTTTGCTTTGTAACTTTGTATTGTTTAAGAAAGGCGTTAGAACATTGGTTAAAGAAGTTGTTTTTGAAAATAGTGATATAAAGTGGTAAATGATCATAGGAGTATAAAAAGGATGAATCGTTAAGAATGTTGAAAGAGGATAGGTCATATGCAAGGTTGAAAGAGAGGAATGAAGAAAGTTTTTTAGGATATTTTGGCATTTAGAATGATAATTTTTGAAATATCAATATTGAATCTCCCATTAAGATGACGTGAAAATTATTTCTACAGCTTTGAATCAGGATGTTCATAAGCTTCTTTTGGATTTGTGTTCTATAATTAAAGGATTTCTTGTCTTTATAGATAGCTGATAAGTACACTTGAATAATACAAAGCTTGAATTCTTTTTGAATTGAAAGTCAACATATAGAATTCTATCATAAAAGGATTTTAATTTGTAAAGATCATTTTTTATAATTAGTCATACTCTTTAACAGTTGAAATCTCTGAACTATGAAAAAATAATTTGTACTGTTTGTTATGACTATTATTATTGAGAAAACGAGCTTGATTATAGGTAAGATGAGTTTCACTAAGTCCCATTATGTCAATTTAAATTTGTGAAAAAAAACTTCTATTTGTTAGTTTGTTTTCAGCAGAACAGTTTCTAATATTATAAGTAACAATGGATAAAAATTTGGATTACTATGTAATGAAGAGAGAGGCATTTGTATTAAAATTACTATTATTAGTAGAACATGAGAAAGTCGTTCCTACAATATTTTTTTTTTTTTTTAACGATGTGGCACTGCCAGTAACTTTATTAAATTTATATATAAGGAAATACAAAGTAAATCGAAAATAAATCTATGCTAAGTACTAGCTATCCCCGTAGTTATATTACAAACCCGTGTGAATTGACCTATCATCGTCTTTCCTCTCCATATCATTCCTACAATATTAAATGTTTTGTTATTATTAATCATTGGGAATGGTTAATCATAGGTAAGGCTTGGCGTAATGCTAAGGAAATAGATTTAAGCTCAGATCTAAGATTTCCAAGTTCACTTTCAACCTGTGCAATATGAGATGTAGCAATATAATTAGTTTGTTATTTTAGTATTGGTAGAGTTGTCATTAACTGTCTTAGAAGTATTTGCAACAGGGGTCACTGATTATTCATAACTGTATTCATTGATGCTTTTTGGATTAATTCATTAACGATTTCCATGGTTGGTTTTCCTTCATCTTTGTCAAGAATCTCTGTGAAGAATTTGAGTCTAGAAAGATGATAATCAATATCTCCTTGATTATGATATTGTTGAAGGACTTCATTTTTTATAGAGATGATCTTATCAGAAAGAAGTACAAGTTTGTTATCAATTTCATCTATTCTTGCTTTAAAGAATGAATAGTATCAACTGTGTTAGAAGGAGGTAGTATTCTAAAAATTTGAGTTAGAATGAGGGCAAGAAGGTCTGTATTACTCAGGTTTGAAGCGATTATAAAGAGACTTATATGGATTAGTTGGGCCTCAGGTAAAACATTTCCTTTGAATTTATGGTATTGGGCAGCTGCAGCGCCTAAATCTTCTATGGTGGCAAAATTAACAAATGCATAAGGTCTTAATCAGTATTGTTGATCTCTTAGGATAAAGCATGATTTAGATGAAACGGACCGAGTATCATTGTAAAATTGTTTAATGATGTCATTACTTTCATAAACAATGAATGCGATCTGCCAGGGCCCTTTGACAATTAAGGGGTTGACTACATGTCACGTGATATACAAGTCACGTATCTATGCGATCATTAAATCACGCGATCATTTTATGCATAATAAGATAAGCATATGATAAACATTTGATAATAAAGCATTTTTTTATCTCTTGTATAGTCTTGGAACTTAGGTTCAAAAGTATTTTTTAATGCAGCTTACGATTTCTGTGAAGTCGTTACTTTATTTATTATTTTTTATAAAAGTCTTTTATTCTTAGTGTGAGTTAAAAAATGGAGGAAGAAAAAATAAGAATTTTTGCTTAGCTTTCGCTAGCAATTACCTATACTCAAGCAAAAAAAGAAACAAAGTGAAACCATAAAAAGAAGGCTTTAAAGTACTTTATACTTCCTCTCCCCTTAATATCTCCTCTAAAGTATAAGAAAAAATACTTTTAATATGTCCGCTGCCGCCGCTTCAATTGTTACATCAACAACAAACCAAACGTCAACAAATCTCACACCAACAAACCTTACACCAGCAAACTTCATTAAACTCCGCCCCATCAAATTTCACATCATCAAATTTCGCATCATCAAACTTCAAGCAAATCTTACAATAGATGAAAAGTGGAACTTACTTTTTAATGTAAGTTATTCTTTGAAAATCCCAATGGAAGATTTTGATGAAAATTGGTGACCATTGGTTTCAAATGTCTAGACACAATGGAATTCATACAAACAAGTAAATGGCGACATTCAGAAAAATTTTATCTGTCATTTTACGAAGCACTGGGAATCAAGTACACAAAATAAGGAAAATATTCCTAATGCAAAATGCTGAATAACTAAAATATGACCATCCAAACTATGTCATGCTAAAATTAGAGTTTTGTGACTAATCTTGTTAAAAATTGTCAAAGTTGAATGCCATAAAGACTCTTCCAATCATACACATTCATTAATAGAATCAGATAGAATAAAATAGTCTCAAACTGTTTGAGATTTGGTGAAAAAGAAAGCGATAAAAAACTATCCGCCTTCAGCAATCACTTCCGCTGTTAGAGAGTATGCAACCAAGTTAGGCCTAGGTATAAATGTGCAAGAGCTGAGACGTAAAGAGGTGGCTAATATAAAATATAAAGTGCGTGGACCTTTAGAAACTCATCTTATTTGCGATTTGGATTTAAAATCAGATATTTCAAAATCCATGTCCTTTTTAGTAAAAAAAGGATATTGTATTGAAAGTTATTGTATTTCTTATCAGTCCACGAAGTCCACTAAGGGCATTGTATTCGCACATCCTAAACAACTCAAGAAACTTCAGTGTTATGGTTGATGCTTATCAATTCAACTCACAAAACAAACAAGTATGATTAGCGCCTTTTACCTTATATGTTTGTGATACTTATAGCTCACTTCTTTGTAAGCAATGAAGATTGCAATACTGTTTTGAAAGTGCTAAAAATTATTCGTAGCTATTGTTGTTGGCTTTCATGTTATATTCTTTCAGATCAAAGTAGCATTGAAGCCAAAGGCATCAAAATAGCATTTCCCAGTATAAGTGCTGGTGAACAAGAATGTGAAATAATCCTTTGTGTTATCCATTTTATGAGAATGTGAATGACGAAAATTTATGAAAAAAAAACTCGGGATATTTTGAATAGTGATGCACAAAAGAACAAGGATCGGTTGTAAAAATCTTATGCAAAATGCTATTAATAATTATACTATTCCTACTATAAAAATACATCAAAAGGTATTATATGAAAATACACAGCAGTGGGGATTGTGAATGCATCAGCATTCTCCTTTACTTTTGCAAGTTACATCTACGAACCCATTAGAATCCTACCACAATAAATTAAAAAAACTGACGTCTTCATTACATAATCTAATTGGTATGTTTTATTTTAGGTGCTCTGTATAATATTGTTGATGTTGATTCTGAAAGAGTCACCTTTGACTTTCATACTAAGAATGTATCTGTCTATGGCATAAATGGTGATATAATCAAAGAAATTCATAAGTTTCCCTTTTCACTTCAAAATCTGCTAGTTAAGGAGGCTCGTGCTGTAATGGATAGGATTGAAAAAGGCAAAGACGTGCCAGGTTTAACTACGCCTAATTGCCACTGTTTATTCTGAAATTGATATTTATTATCATGCAGACATCTTTTTCACGAACATATATACGAAAACACCAAATTATTGACCATTGAAATATGAAAGAATTGTGGATATGAAATATATAAAGATTGCGAATCAGTAATAGAATTTGTTCAAACAAACAACAAAAAGAAGCTGAGAATCAGAGGTTAACTGTAGTGAAATTAACTGAAAGAATTCGTGATAGATATTGGAATATTGAAGAAAAGGGTGAAATTGAGAGAACAGATGCTTTTATATTAATTCTAGAAGCTTCTTTAAATCCAATAATTTCGAATTTTAATGAAAAAAAATAAATACCATACTGTTCCGAAATTAGACAACCTTTTTTGTTATAGGGTTGTTTAATTTCAGGTACTTTTAAAAATAAAAAATTTAACTGAATTTAAAAAGAAATTTGACCTGTTCGGTCATGAATTAGGAACGCTAG